AAATACCATTAATATTTCATAATGATTCTCATACTTTCACTAATTATTACCAAACGATATTTATTCCTATCGATATAGGTATGTGTGTGCGTGTGAACGCGTGCATTTTTCTATTGAAACAAATTTCTATTTAAACAATCAGTAGACATTTTCAATCCTTTTATTAACAACGTCACTTTTCGTACATGTTGATTAAAAATAAATTAAAATATCGATAATTTTGTTCTCTTAGATTCGAACGTGTTTTTGTAAAAAATGATAATACATCGGTTAGCTGCTTTTACGTATCGTATCGGCGTCGATGTATTTGTTAGAAGGAGTGAGAAAGAGGCCGAGGCGAGGGCGTATCTGCAGTTCCGAGGCCGTTTCGAGTGTCTGGAAACTTTTAAATTGGACGTTCCCGACGGGTTTGAATTCGAAGTAAGTACCTCGTTTGCACGTCCCTCGTGGCAAGGGTGAGGCTCGTGTAATGGCTTCGCGATTGGTCCGAACCTCTTCAACTTCGAACGCAAACGATGTTGCCTTGATCTTTCGTCGCGATTTCGTTTCACTCGTTTTCCAAGATTTCATGGGGAAAAACTGAATAATAATCGTATGTGTTAAAGGGGGGTGGGGGATGAAGGAGGAAGTATTGCAGAAGATATTGATAAACCGTTTCAATAGTATTTTTATTTCTTTCGGATTAGAGTTTCTTTCTACTTGGAATATTTGTTCAATAAATTTGACGTTTGCAAACGAAAGTTACCCTCCTCCTAGTTGTCACTCTTATCACGTACGATACTCTCATCACCTGAAACCGGATTTAACAAGCAGAGCCACGCTGAGACACGTAAATTTCGTCTTGGAATAATTATTCTTCCTAGCACGTAGAGTCGGAGATTAAAATCTTATAGTTTATGCCATTGTTTATATATACAATTAAACATCCGGTCTTAAAGTGTATTATCTACCTTATTGGAGATGCATTTAAATATTTGATCTTGTTAATGATGGAAAAGTACTTACATGTTTTTTTACTTTTCTTTTCTTTTTCTACATTTTATAATTATTTTGTAAGAAAGTACTATTAACTAGAACGACACGAAACATTAATTGTAATTAGAGAAGAAAATTTGGAATACGCAAACTTCTCCCAGCACATTCAGAGAATCAAGAACGAATGCTTAATCCTTTTTCATCCAGGTTGAAGTGGTTCTCCTCTCGGCGTAAAGTAAAGGATTCGAGGACTCACAGAAAATCTTGCCACGTAATCTGACGTGGCGATGAGGTAGCTGTGCATTAGAAATGCAGCCGGTGTAAAATCGCGCATCATGCTCCGGGGGAATCTCCGAGTTGAAGAAAGAAACGGAAAAACAAACTAAAGAAGAAGAAGAAGAATAAGAAGAAAAGAAAGAAGAAAATACGAAAAGAAAGAGGAGAAGAAACCATCAGTAGAATCGTTCTTTCTCTTTTTCCTCGGGTAAAAAACGAAGTGTATAACCAAGACGTTCCGGTTGTCTTTATAAATTACTTTATTCTCAGCATGGCGGAAATAGCGGACAGTTATTTATAATACCGTGATGCATCGTTGTCGTCGTCGGTAGTAGTAGCTGTGGTGAGAGACCGGCTTTATGGGGAAACGCGGATATTCGAGATCTAGAAAGAGAATATCCTTCCACTGCAAGATAGTAAGAGAAAGAGAAACGACGAAGGGTGGTTTCCTAATCAGCTTACTTCCGTAGTTTGCTCCTTTTGTAGAAACTACTCGGCCCTTCTTTAGCACCTCCCAAACCGCCTCCCCCACCCACCCACTCGACGGATTAAAGCATTGTCGGTGGTGGTTATTATATCGAGAGATAGGTGTGAACGGTCAAAGTACACAACAATAACATGTGGTACCATGCGGATAAACTGCGCCACTCGAAACAATGCCTTCCTGCTAGGAAAAGGGTTCCTTCTCCTAGCCCTTTCTGTGGCTACTTCGAAAGGTACGCGGCTATTATTGGTTCAACGAACAAGAATTATTACCGACTATAGTAATTTCGTGTCTGTTGAATATACCCTCATCTAATCCTATCAAAACTCTAGAAATTCTCTACAAATTCAAAGAGAAGTTGTTGTTCTATTTAAAATTACAGTGGAAACACTTTTAATATTTTTTCGTACTATAGTAAAACGTTTGTCATCGTTTAACAACAAATATTTCTCGTTACTCTATTAATTTTGTATTAAAAGTAATTAAGTTGTGAGAAAAATAAATAAATACGTGAAAATAATTGGAGAAAAAAAAACATGTGTCGTATTTTTAGATCGATAAAAACTTCATTTTGTTACTGATATCGTCGGAGGACCTTGCAGACTTATGTATATACCCGATAGGATCAACGGGCTGCCTTCTTACGCGAACGTTTAAAGTTTAATGCATGCGAGGAGGTCGGCTTGTTTGCTCTAGAGAAAATTGCTCCCGTAGTGGCGGATGTATCGAGGTAAAATGTGATTTCGTAGGTGACCCAGGAGACCTTGCTAGAATGTTCGAACACCTTCTCGAGTGAGAACGTTGCATCTAACTCGAGGATACACTTTCCTCCTTATCATCTCAAATCCAATAGGATGAACTTTCGAATCTAATGTAAAACATATAAATAATATGTCAAACATGTGCAACAAACAATATGTCTACTAAAGTAACACGCAATACGTGTGATCTATTATCAAGTAAAATGTATATCTTATTATCTTGAAATAATTGTAAGACAAATAATGATAATTTAGATCGATATAGATTTAATACGACAAGTCAATCGATGCAATCAAATCTTAAATATGATATATTCGAAATTTTGTACATAAGAATTTTTCAATAATAAGTAGAGGAATTAAAAGAATCTCAAATCATGTTACATTTAAATAATTCGATCAGAGATAATAACTAAATTAAATAGACTACAACTTGTTTGTTTTTTGGCAATAAAAAATATCCGGAAAACATTTGTCTGCATTACTTAATACTTTAGAAAGTTCATAGTTAATCAGTTAATTTGAAATGTAGTATGACAAAGAGGATGAGTACTACACATGCGTTAGTTAGTTTTCAGTAACTTTGTAGGTCCTAATAATAAAATACAAACATGAAGTTTCATAGTATCATTTGATATCCAGATTGAAAGAGAGAGAAAGAGATGGTGGATCGTGATACACTGTAACTATGCGTCCTGCATTACTCGTCATCAATATAAACACGCGTGTCACCCTTACAAAGGGCCTTTTCGAGGATCCTCGTATAACTCGCGAGAATTACGGCTACGGTCCTGCTACCGCGACGTTAATTAATGTAACTCGACGTGGAATACGAGCATAATTACTTTGCTCGAGTGGCCGTGGTCGAAAGTTTGCTCGTTATCGGGGGCCTGTCGTAGACACAACTAAACAATGCATAGGTACATCAATAATATAGATATAACGTGATCAGAGGGCCAAGTATGTCGCTGCATTATCATCCTCGATCTTAACTTCTTAACTTATTTCCAAAGATCGAATAATCAATGGGGAAATTATTTCAAACTCTAACCATACACTCATTCCATATAATTAAATCTTCTTCTTTTGATCATTTATTTTAATCATATTTATAATAATATTAAAGAGTAAAATCGTTTGCATCGAGTGTAATGCAATATGCTAATATTATTAACAGTCAACAGACCACACACTCCGCTGAAATTATTAATTTTTTCGTTAAATCAATATTTCATGAATATAATATTTTTATTAAATAATGATTCTCTTAACTAAATGAAGAGAAACACTTTTCATTCCGAATGGAATGAAAGACAGTTCGGTACAGCTGCATGTTGCTTTCGCGCAAGTGTATCTCAGCGTTCGTAGTTTTGTGGTAGATCTAGACAGTAAGAAAGACAGAGAAAGACAGAAGGAATGAAAAAGAATAAAAGAGAAACGAAGAGAGAGAGAGAGAGAGAGAGAGAGAGAGAGAGAGAGAGAGAGAGAGAGAGAGACCAGCATTAACTAGTTACCCCATGACAGTGAGGGTTAGTGCAGTACAACGTTGGTGAGGAAAGTCGAAGCAGTGCAAACACGTTGGGTGAGGGTGAAGGGAAAGCAAGAGGGCACACGCACAGTGTTTGGTGACGGCCGGATGTACGAGGGTAGCAGACCACATCACTCGTCGCCCTAACCGGATGCCACGACATTGAAATACAAGTGAGCCCCTTGCCAGTGTTCACGGGCACCCGGTTACCCTGGTGAAGAGTAGTGCGGCTTATGCTATCCAAAACCAAACCCCTTTTTCATTTCCTTCCTTTTATTTTCTTACGCTACCACGAATATGAATTTATAATTTTTGTTTTTGTTCTTTCATCTTTTTCAAATCGTTGATGATATAACACCTGTTCGAGATAACATCGGTCATCGTGTTACGATAAAACAAATCTAGATTGTAATCCAACTGATTTTTACTACATTTGATTTTGAGTATACAGATATTGATCGGTGGATTTTTTGTTTTTCCAAATGACTTTAAGTATGAAGATTACACACACAATCGTCAATGATTGTTGTTAGATTTGTATAATAATTATTTCAATAATTCTTTAACTATTTAATAAATATTACGTTATTTTAAAAATCATCTTTATTTAATAATAATACTCTTGATATATGATTTTCTTTCTCTTTCTTTTTCAAATTTTATAGTAAACGTATAATATTGTACTTACGTGTCTAGCGGTTCTTATCCAATAAAGAAATATTTATAAAAGAAAAGATGAAAATATTAGATCGAAAGATAGAAGACAGTTTTCAATAGACAGGAAGAAAAATAAAAAAGAGATATTTAAGAGAGAAAGAAAAATTATAAGTATAATATTGTACTTGTGTGTGTGTCTAATCGTTCCTCTCTAATATAAATTAAAGAAAAAGAAAAGAGAGCATTAGAAAACAGGGCTAGAAAATAAAAAAGATATATAAGAAGGAAATAAATCGAGGAAAGAGGCCAAGAACCGGAAATGGAGGTAGAGAGGTAGGTTAAAGGCTCGTTCTTGGAAGAATCCAATCGCAATGGAGTTAAGTGTTCGAGAGTAAAACTTAGCCAAGGCACGACCTCGATTACACGCGAAGGATTTGTTACAGGCAACCATTTTCTACGACTTCCCCCCTAGAACCCTCGAAATCGTTCTAGCTTCCTTTGCACTTCTTCTTTTTCTTAAAAGTGATCGATCCTATCAACGTGAATTTACGTTTAATACGCAATAATAAATCAATAATGATACTAAATATAATTTTAACGTCTGATCTTTGCTTATTGTTCGATGTTTTAATATTCAAAGTTCAAGTATCGAAATGCATTTAAAATAAATCTTGATTTCTTTTCTCGATTAGAATTATTATTATTATGCAATGACGTTAGGATCTCGAAAGTTAGTCCCTGAGCAGGATCTCGATTAAAATACATATATAAGGTACATTATTATCGATAAGATGTAACAACTCGATTACATGGGACAATTATTTATCAACCATATGTGCCAGTTGATTTAAAAGACACCTGTGCACTACTTTTCTTGCTTTTTATCGATAAATTCGTTAGATTATCTACGTTTCAATATGATCATTATCAATGTTTTTTTTCTTTATCAAGAACGATGATTAAACTGGTAATCTTTTCATTTCAATAAAGAAAAAATGAAAAACAAAAGAAAAGAACGGAGAAAAAAAATATAATAAAAAGAAAATAATAGAAATTAAAAATTAACCGATTAATAAATTTTCTTTAAAGAAACAATGTGAAAGATTTGAAGAAGAAATATAAAGAAATATAAGAAGAAATTCAAAATAAGATAAAACCGATAGAACAAAAAGAGAATAGTAGAATCGACGAGAGAACAAAAATCATAGTTTCGAGGATTCGACGATTTCATTTTGAGATCCCATTCACGTTTACGTACGGACAGAGTTTCTTAGCTGATTTCTACTCCCAACCCAACCCAAACCAGCCCCTTTTTCTCCTTACTCTTTCTCCTAACCACGCTTCGTCTCTTCTTGTTCTTTTTTTCTTCGCAAAAATCCTCGAGGTCGTTATATCGGTAACGATGGGACCGGCACGTCAGGCTGTTACCACCACGTGCGGCCATAATATCCTGGAAAAGTTTGCCTGGCCGGTTAGAGAAAATAACTTGATACTACTCGCGCGCGCTTACAGTCTTGCTGCGAGTTGAACTTTCCTTCGGAATCCTCCTCCGGCTTTTCCAGAAATGATTATAACGCCGATATCACGAACCTTTTCTTGCGTAGTTTTCACCAAAGTCTGTTGCTTCCCGCGCCTTCTCTTTATCGTTCTTACTTATCTTTTAAATAATATTATCTTATAAAAAAGAACCCAAAAATTAAGGAAAAATCAAGCGAATTAAATTGAAAGATGTTGTTGTTGAACTAATTCTTTTAAAACAATATTTGCCAACCCGACAAGTTCCTATCGATTTAACAAAATATCGATAGGAGCATCTCCAAGTTGGACTGGAAACATCATAAAAATGCGTTAAACCTTTAACGAAAGAAAAACGTTATCTAACTATTAAAAATGAGATGACGAAAGTAAAGGAAAGAAGAAGAAGAATCCACAGAAACGAGAGTAGAGTTTTACATTGAGTGGAAAAGTTAAGAGATCGCGAATACGATCTTTTCGGTTAAGGCAATGAAATGATGTCGGCTCGTTTTCCTTTTCAAGCTAAACCTTTTTCTTTTTCTTTTTTTTCTTTTTCTTTTTTTTTTTGTTTTTTTTTCTACCTCTTGATTTTCCTATTACGACGACGATGGTAAATTCCGAGGCTTATTAAATTGTAACAACTTTAATTACAGAAACACTGTTCCTATCTTCTCCGGTCCCCCTCCACCCGTTTCATCTTTTTTTATGTTCTTTCTTTTTTATTTTTTCATCTTATTCTCTCTTGTCTTCTTTTTTCTGTAGTCTATTTTGCTTCATTCTCTCTTTCTCTCTCTTCTTCTTCTTCTTCTTCTCGTTTTCATCTCTCTCTTTTACTTTGTTACTCCTTAGTCTCCAGCTGTTCCAATGGTACTGCAAAACTCTTTCGATTGGCAGTGCGAGAAAATCGGTAGCTAGGAGGCATCCTTTACTTTCCTTTTAAAAGTTAGCGCCACCTGCACGAACATCGCTTCTTTCTTATTTATCGAAAGACCACTAGGAAGGAGTCGTGACTATTCGCAACACGTGCTACCGTTTTGCTTTCTTCTTCTTACCCTTAAACCACTCCCCCCCTCCCTCCGTTCTCCTCTGCTACCCAACCACCGCCTTCTTTAACCCTCACCATTTTATCCTCTCACCACCCTTTTTATTTTTTTTTTCTTTCCTTTCTTCCTTCTTCGCATCCAACCGAGCAAAACTTTTTATGCGTTAACAAAACTACCTCCTCCCCTCTCTCCCCACCCTATGCCTCCTTCTTTTACTCTTTCTCTACGTGTTACTCTAATATACAAAACTGTTATAGTATGTATTTACATATGCTTCGATAATATTTGTCTTTTTATTCTTATTACATTAGACTTGTAATAAATTTTGTTGTTTCTTTCTATCGTTTAATTGACAGATAGAGTATAAGAACTAGATTAATTTTCGTGTCAGAAGAATCTTTTAATTTGATTAGATATTATTATGCAATCATTTTATTAAAGGTTTTGTATTTTCCAGAAATCCCCAATTTAAGAATCATATACGTGATTATAAAAATGATACAAAATAAGAAAGATAATAAGATTAAATTATTTTTTTTCATTCTAACGATATTAGAAATATTTTCTGTCTTTTCGTATCAGTATATTCATACTGCATATTTGATATGTTTCTCTGTACATGAAAAATTTATCTATGAATCTCTTCTGTTATTTCGATGCCCCAAATGAAATTCATCGAATATCTGAGCTATTTATCTTATCTGATATTGGATAATGGAGCGATTGAAATCAGAATTTACGTGTATAAAAAGTCGCTTGAGTTCCTGTAAAAGTATTATTACTTTCTAAGTACTTGGTGCGAAACACAATACCAAAGTAAGTATAATAAGTATGCAAAATAGAAAGAAAATTTGTTCTTAAATGTATAAATTATTAAAGTACTAATAAATTATTCCATAATATTTGTACTAATCATCGAAATAAACAAAAATAATAATTATTTGAATTATCTTTTCAGATGAAATTCGCAATAGCTTTAATAGCAATCGTGGCAGCAGCCAGTGCATGGAAAGTACCGAACCTTGGTAGAGGCGAACTTTACAAGGATCTTCAAGAATTTGTAGACTTGGTTCCAACCGAAAAGTTGGTACAACTTCTTGTGCAATATGCCGCCGAAGATGCCGAAGTACAGAAAGGCCTACAATACGTGCAAACCGATGACTTTAAACAATTGGTACAAGAAAATGAACAAATACCCGAAGTAATGGCCTTTTACAACTACGTATACAACGCTGGAGTCGACATTTACTACCTATTAAATCGTTTACACGATTACATTCACCTTCCAAAATTGACGCCACCATCGTCATACTATGGAATCACTGGTGGATACAAGGGTCTCGTCGCCGACGTCAAGGCACTCATGCCAAATGATCAATTGAAAGTTCTTTACCAGAAAAAATTGCAATCCTCGTCGGCTTTCAAAGAACTCGTCCAACATCTTTCCTCTAAAGAATTCCAAACCATTGTCAACACTCTTTACGCCAACCAACGCTTCCAACACATTCTTAAGAGAGCCAATGAATCTGGTCTCGATATCAATGCCGTCAGAGAAGTTATCCAAACCGTTCTTGGACTTAATATTCCCAAATACCCAGACCTATAAATAACACCAGTACTTGTGGAAGATATTTATTTTATAAGACCTTAATGTGCTTATGATTAACAAATAATATTTTTCGATCTTCTTACTTAATGTTTCATACAAAAAATATAATATAATAAATTTTTGCAATCTTTTATCAAATCATGTATTATAATTCTTTCTATTCCTTTTGTAATCGTTACGTTCTTTTCGTTTTCGGCATCTATCCAGACTTCGTCGCGCATTTATAACGTTACAATTAAAAACCAATCAGAATTAATACTTAAAATTAAAGATTAGATAATATCTTTTATGTTGGATCAAAAGAATGACGACGACCGTGTGACAAAGTGTTTCAATCTATACAAAAAATAAATTTTTTTAATGAAAAATTGAAACTTATGACGAAAACTGATTTATGTTGCTAATCCCAAATCCTACCATTGAGAAGAATCTGATGAAGCAGCAACGTTTACAGGGAAATGCAATATTTTCTCTAAGAAATTCATGTCCTGTATCTCATGGAATATCATGAGTGTCCTATATTATAAAACTTTAATAATAGGTGAATAATGATGCTGATTGTTACAGTCATTAATTGATACAATTGAATCTAAAAATCACACGAAAACGCTCATTTATTGGCAAAAGATTGCGGCCTGTGAAAAATTGTTTCACGATAAAAAAGTTTCACGTTGCTAAGTCCGTCCAAGCAACGTAATTGGTGTTTAATTTGGGATATTTGAGAGCACTTGGCTTTCATTTCGAACATTGCCCTTTCCTACTATCGTACGTTAAGATTAATGCATACTTTTTATCTGAAATACATACTTCAAAAAATTTGGGTAAAAAATAATATATGGACTATCGCATCAAAAGATAAAACTTCTTTTTTATTTCTGAGATTAGTAAACTGATCGAAAGATGGCGTAAGGTGACAAATAATAACACGAAAATATTTAAATGTTAAATGTTCAGTAAATTGTTGATACAAATAAATGTGAAATTTTCGAAAACAACTTGGAAATTTATTTGTACACCAAATAATATATCCATTTCTGTTATGTAATATATTTCTAGAAGATTAAGAAATCTTTAAGATCAAATAATTGAGTATTTTTTGATCAAAGTTCTTTTATAAAAATTTTTTATATAAAAAAAAAATTAGTAGTACATTTGCAAAATAAATTAAATTGACAAATACAAAATTTGGTACAAATTGATAATGCTGCATAAATTGTACTATTTATTATTATACAGTTACTATAAAAATTGTTAATTTTTTATGTTGATAATTATGACTAATATAAATTAAGAAGTGAAAATAATATATTTGATGAAGTACAAGAGTGCTTCATTTTTCATATATTTATAGGATTTGCTTTCTTGATCTTTAGCCACTTTGTAAATGCTGAATATTTTATTTCGAGAACTTAATAAATCTTTGCTAAGATGAAGCAATAATCTAAGAAGAACACATATTTTTTATTTCTGGGTTCACAACTGGTACAGAGTATCTTCAGGAATCTGGCGAATTGAAAATAGCCGGAGATAATACCTGAACGAAATTCGAAAAAGGTTTACTGAAAAGTTTGAAATGAGACTTGGTATATTATTAGTATAATTTTAGAATGTTCACCTAATAAAATATAGCATTGAAAGTTTTGTTGGTCTTTATATATCCTAGTAATTAGAAAATCTGTCCATATTTTTAAGTACTGTTATTATCGATCATAAGTTTCTTATATAACTTTATCTTAATAAACTTTTATCTTATCACTTAATAGATGAATTGATCCCAAAATTACTTTAATATCAAGGCCAATTTTCGATATATAAGCTGCAGTATTTTCTAGTCAAGACACATTCAAATTGATTTATTTGCCGAGGCTTCCTAAGTATTTAGAAACCGTAAGTACTATACCTTCTTTTATTTGATTTCTTACGAAAAACTGAAAAAATAAGATTTATTAAACTACAATTGTTCACTTACTTTCATTAATATTGTGAATCTTCTAAAGCATATAATTATACTATACTACGTTCATACTATATACATAACAAATAATATAATAGTACAAATATAGTATGGTAATTTAAGATTGGAATATTTTTTTTTTATTATAATATAGTCTTATAATATGTTTAATTAATAAGTGTAAAATTAGTACGTAAATTTTTAAATTATAATACACTGGAAATACAGTAAAGTATTTAAACAAGAATTTGTTGTTCTCCTAAAATTTGCACGTGTCTCGCACCACTTCATTACTAGTGGAAAGGAAAAAATAACTGTAATACTTATCTCAGCAAATACTTGTACAATCATGCATATGGATTATCTTTAATCACACACACTTATATACATACAAACATATGCATTCTATTTTTCTCGTATCATTTGCTAATATTTTTCTAACCTGATAATAAAGTACTTTATTTTAAAATCATAAAATCCTTGATATGATGTGCATTTAATGGTAAATCTAGCATTTATAAATTAATAAAATTCATTCATTATTAGATTTATACTGAAATAGTTAATTAAATATCCTAATAAAAATTGTTTTTTTTTATTTTCAGATGAAGTTCGTTGGAATTCTCGCAGCTCTCCTCGTAGTTGGAGTTTCCTCCAATCAGGATATCTTTGGAAATGATTGGGAGTTTAACGCTTTAGACAAGGATATATATGACTTTTTAAAGCTCATGCCTCTTAACGAAATTTTGAAACTAACAGTTAGATACAGAAATGATCCTGAGATACAAAGAACCTTAAGATGGGTCTCAGGTGATGAATTCCATACTTTGCTCGCCAACGTAGAAAAGTTGCAAGAATTCAAAGACTTGGTTCTTTTCATTCAAGACGCAGGATACAATGAAATAAGAGAAATCAAAATATACCACATTCTCACTGGAATGCCAGATTTCGTGCCACCACATAGATACGAAGATGATCTTCCACAAGGATATGGAAGCGGTGGTTTCGCCAAATATCTGAGTGACCTGATTGACATTATTCCTAAGGGTGAAATTGAGAGGCTCCACAATAAGAAATCCGTAGATTCGCCAGCCTTCATTAAATTCCATAACGCTATTCATTCTGCGGAATACAAACAATTGAAAAATGCATTACAACATTCACCAGAATACGAACGGCTATTGGAAAGAACTAAGGCTAATGGTCTTGACATCCAAGCATTCGAAAACTTCAAATACGAGCTTCTTGGGTTCTTACGTAAAGGCGTAATAACCATGTAAATATTCGACAAATTTCATTTGGTAATTAAATATTACCATCGTCTTAAATTAATTGATCAATAAACATATTACATAGCACCTAAAATTATTCTATCCATTTATTTTCCTTATGTGTACGTCTGTTAATTCTATCCTTATAATTAAATAATGTGAGGATGAAATCAGTGAGTGATTCAGAGACGACCATTTACCTTACTCGTTCCCACTTTTCATACTCGTGATGTTCACAATGTAAGATCTTGATAACATAGTCGTAGTCATAGTCGATTATCATTCATATATTTATTATTTTTCCTATTTTCTATTATTAATCATTATTATTAGGTATACGTCTCAAACTTGTAGGATTAAACACTTAAATTTTGTTTCCTAAAAAAATATTAATCAAAAATAAAAAAAAGGTGTGTTTATTCTCTATAATTTTGATGTTTTCGATAAAATTCTTCGAAGATCAATTATAGGAAACAATATTAAGTTTTTTAATTAAAATTATTAAAAAAGATAAGATTCGGAATATATTTCTTTGGAAATAATATTCGTGGGCTATTATACAATACAATATTATCTGTGTAATAACAGTTAATGAAATCTTTCGTTGAATTTCGAGTAGCCAGTGACTAAATTATTCTTTTCTATAATTTTATCTTATCATGTAAGATAACTATGATTCAACTTTTCAATTATTTCTTCTTATGAATGATCATTTACTTCAATCATTTGAGTATAAATATCTGTATTTTTACTGTGAAGATACATTTGAAATAAACAACGAGATATTGAAAGAACCGTTCTGTTTTGAACAACTATAACCAATCGTAAGTATGATAACAAATCTTTTTATAATAACTTATTATCTATTATTGTTTATAAACTTTCTTTATAGATGAAGTTAATTTTGACTTTTATCGCGGCACTGGTTGTATTTGAAATTTCTGCCGTTCCACTTAAATCCAATAAATGGAATAAAGTAAAAACTTTGCTCGAAGTATTCAATGAAAACAATAAAGAATTGAATCTTTTGGATAGAGATTTCCTAGACTTTGTAAAACTTATACCCATCGACAAATTAGTCACGATTATACAAAAATACGAAAATGATCCGGAAATATTACGTTCGTACGATTATGTAACGAGCGAAGAGTTTCACAATTTAGTTTACGCTGTAGAAGCCTTACCCGAGCATCGCAGATACGTCCGAGTTCTTCAAGAAGCAGGATACAACAAAATAAGAGAACTTAAACTGATTCATGATTTTTTGGGAATGAAAGAATATGTTCCGAAACAACGCCGATCATTAGACCAACAATTGGAGACGAATAACAGTTCAGAAGGTGGATTGAGTGGTTTCGTCAAAGAATTTATCGCAATTCTTCCAGTCAAAGAAATCAAAGAACTTCATGAGAAAAAACTTGTTGAATCGCAAGCATTTGCTAAATTCAACCTTTACGTAAGTTCCTCAAGATTCCGTCGGATCCTAACGAATCTTACCGGAACGGAACAGTACAAACAAATAGTACAAAAAGCTCTCGAACATGGTATTGATTTAGTCCTATTGAATGAACTCAACTCTCGTATCATTGGCTATAAACCATAAATAATCTCTTAATAACGTTTTTAAATATTATTCCTAATTTTATTTTAAATTTACGCAATTTTTAATTGCAGAAAATTGTTAATGATTTATTAGTTATAAGCAATATATTAATAAAAATACAAAATGTTTTTATCCTTCAATAAGTCAGTCTTGTAATTCTGCATCAAATCCTTTCTTTTCCTTCGAAATACTCATTTTTATAAACTATGATTGCCAAGATAGTTAAACTTCTCATATAATGTTTATCACACCTATCAATTTGTCGAACAAAACAACAAATTACTCATTACACTTAATTGAAAAACCAGATAATAGATAATAAAAGATTAACATTTTCAATCCAAGATGATTCAAGGTTTTTGTCTTTCGTTATTTCTTATCCATGATTCATACAATTGTTTTCATCGTGTTATTATAATACGCATGAAATCAAATAAATGATCGCGTTTATTTATTTAATTTTTAATTTTTTTACAAATATTTCTATCAAAAGATATTTTAGCCCTTAATTTCATTTAGGCTTTCAGGGAGTAGCATTAAGAGATTGGATTTTAAAAACTATTTATTAAAGATAAACGGTATATTATTTTTAAAAAGCAAATATTTTCGATAAAACATTCCTGTTGCTTGAAAACAAACTACTTATTTCTTTGTTTACATTTAAAGATACAATATTTTTAATATACATTCTCCCCAACGTTTTGAAAAACAAGTTTTCTGTTTATTTAAAAGCTTTAAAAAATACAATTCTTTCAATATTATCAATATAACGACAATGGATTAAGATCATTCAAGGAATTTGAAGTAGCCGATGATTAAATAATAATTTCCTATAATTTTGATATATCTTATCGCAAAAGATAAATAATCAATCGCTTTTCCGACTTTTTTTCTTTCTAAATAAACTTGCTTCCGAGGAAATCGAGTATAAATTTCTAAAGTTTTGCAGTCGAGATACATTCGAGTTTGATATCGTGCAACAGCGAATACTGGTGCAGTTCCAAACAATTACAATCAATCGTAAGTACAATTACATTTTTTTAATAGTAATTTATTAATTACGAATTTCTATAAATTTGTTTATAGATGAAGTTCGTTTTGACGATCTTTGCGGCAATAGTTGTCGTGGGAGTTTCTGCTGTCCCGCTAAATGATAAAATTAATTCATTAAATGGAAATCGATCGAATATAGTTGAAACTTTTTTGGACGCATTTAATGGCAATAATTCCGGTATAACTCCTTTGGACAGAGATTTCTTAGAATTCGCAAAACTTATCCCTTTGGATAAGTTGCGTGAAATTGCACATAAATATGCAAATGATTCCGGAATAAGACACTCATATCATTTCGTTATGAGCAAAACGTTCCACAATTTGGTATATGCTGTAGAAGCCTTACCAGAGCACCATAGTATAGTTCGATTTCTTGAAGAAGCAGGAGTCAGCGTAATCCGAAATCTCAGAATAATTCATCGAGCTTTGGGAATGAAAGATTATGTTCCACCCCCACCCTCAACCCAAGAATTGAAAAATATGGAACGTGAAGAAGGTGGATTGACTAGTTTTATTAAGGAATACATCGAAATCCTTCCAGTTGAAAAGATTAAGGAACTTCATCAGCAAAAATTGAAGGAATCGCAAGCTTTTGCTAGATTTGACAGCTACATACGCTCTTCAAAATTCCGTGAAATTGTAGTGGCTCTTATTGCGACTAAAGAACACAAAGAACTGATGAAGGTATCTCTTGAAAATGGTATCGATTTTCTCTTGATACATGAACTTAATGCTCGTATTATTGGCTACAAACCATGAATTATCTAAATATTGAAATGAATTCTTCCGCTTCTTACTATAAATTTATACTATTTGTAATGTAATCTGAGGTATATTTGTTATCATTTTAATTTGAACATTAAATAAAATACACAACGTTTTGAACTATATAATAAGTCCATTTTATTATTCATAATTAACATGTTTCCATTCCTTGATAGTATTCCTTTCTTTATTAATACTAGAACTATCAATATATTATTTTGGATATTATGAAACAAATAGTTCATCAAATTTTCGACCTAACACATGAATAGTTTTTGTTGTACCATTATACAAACCATACACGTTAAGAATGTACCATTAATAATGTATTAAACTTATTATTTGTATGACTAGAAAAATAATCTTTCATCTACTTTTAATTTTGAGAAAGAAAATCATATCTTTTTCTAGTAATTATTGCTTATATCTTATATAAGATCTCGAGTATTTAGCGATCAAATAATTAAATTTCTTGTAATTATTTCTTATCTTAAGATAAAAGACATATATAAATCGGTACATTCTTACAATTAGCTACAATTAGAGCTCATAACCGTCCAACAATAAGTATTGTGCTACTCTGAGCAGTAATTAACAACCGTAAGTAGAAACGATTATTTAAATAATAAGTATTGTACCCACTTATCAATGCTTTTTTGTTTTTCATTACTTTGTAGATGAAGTACGTTTTTACTATCTTTGCGACACTAGTTGTCGCTGGAGTTTCTGCAATTCCACTAAATGGCGATCGATCGCTTACACTGAACAATTTGGCAAATGAAGTTAATGACAGTGAAATGAAAGAAAATGCTTTGGTAAAAGATTTTGTAGATTTCGCTAAACTTATACCACAGGACAAAATTATTCCAATTATGAAAAGATACGAGAATGACTCCAAATTGATAGCATCACTTCATTATGCATTGAGCGAGGAATTCCATGAATTGGTCTACGCAGTAGAAGCTTTACCAGAACATAAGAAATATGTTCTCTATCTTCAAGAATCAGGATTCGATAAAATTTATGAGCTTGAAGTAATTCATAAAATACTTAGAATGAAAGACTACGTGCCACCATCGCTTCTATTACTTACAATTAGTCAATATAATTTGGCCGAATCGGAAGGTGGATTGAGCGGTTACATCAAAGAACTCGTTGCAACACTTCCCGTGGATAAGATCAAGAAACTTCATAATAAAAAATTGAAGGAATCAGCAGCCTTCAGGAAATTCAGTTCTTACTTATTGGACGAAAAATTTTCTCAATTGCATAAGGACCTTGCTAATACGGAAGCATATAAAGAATTTATACAAAAATCTTTGGAACATGGTATTGACTACCATGCTTTACAAGACCTTGCGCTTCGTTTTCTTGGATTTAGACCATAAAAAATTATAATCATTAATTTGACAATAATTGTACGTTACTTGTAATGCAAGTAAAATTATATGTTCTTGTTACTTGTATCTGGAAGCTATTAAAAATATAAATCAGTTAAATTATTTCATTCTCGTAAATTTGTATTCTGAAAAAATAAACCTTTATCCTTTCTCTGACACAATACTTTTTCTTTATATATTACACAATTATACTAAAAAATAGTTTGAATTCATCAATTGTGTGACAGCTTTAGCAAGCAAATGTAATTTTAGAATTGTTAGATAGTAAAAGATTAGGGTTATTCTACGTTAGATGTCATTAAGTGTAATGTATTGCAGTTATTTGCTCGTCTATTATTTCAAATTTTAATTTAACTACTTAACTATTAACTTTAGGACCCAAGTTCGAAAGTATTCTAAGAAAGAAAAAAGATTTTCCTAAGATTATCAATAAAAGAATCAAAAAGAAAAAAAAAAAAAGGAAGAAAAAAAGAAGGCAAATAAGGGTAAACACGTAAATCGTTAAAAGGCTGGTGCGTAGGATCAAGAAGATTTGTATGGGCCGGAATAGAAAGTAGAGTACACATCTCGGGCAACGTGACGGACGCTTAAAGAACTTCATTGTCCCCTGTCGTTGGTCCAAGAGCAAGGTAGAATTTAATAATGTAGAGAGCTGGGCCAGACGTTGGGTACACACCAGGATCGGTACACACTGCTTTCGGGCGTCTTCAATATCTGAGCAGCTCAGAAAGGGTATTGTCTAGAGCGGTAGTACGGTACCGGGCTTCGCGTGCTTTATGACTACCCGTCACGATGACGACGATGACGACGATGACGAGCATTATGCCACGGGGATAATAGATCTCAACGGGTTACCGCCATTTACTTATAAAGGTACCGCTCGCGGTAAAGAAAGCTCGTGAAACCAAACAGTATACATTTCCACCTTATATCCTCATTGAATTATAACCTCTCAATCCGGATACGATATTTCCCAACTAAGTTTCCAAAGACAGCTAATAATTACAATACACCTAACGTAATGGCATTTTATTTAATGTACTGTTAAGCTCTCACAGACAGAATCGAATGAACTAGGATTAATTAGAAGAGAATTAAACAGTTATCCGTTTTATTTTACTTTAAATATGTACATAAAATCAGTATATATATATGTGAATATATAGAAATATTCCTATTCCAAATATAATAATAAATTAAAGTCCCCGTATTAATGATATTTCCAACGAATACATATATTTAAAATCATCAATTCCTTATTCCAAGTGTTTAGGTAGTGGGGTAACTAATTTCTGCACGCTTAGAAAGCTAACTTTCATTTGGGGGAAGAAAAATGTAGGATGGTGGTGTTGGTAGTTAAAGAGGAAGAAGTGGTGAGGTGTTGAGGAGGGCCAAAGGAACGTGCTCGTTCACGACGTCGGAGCATCCACAATGCGGGCGTCGACGACGACGACGACGACGACGACGAGTCCTATTTCAATTCCAGCAAGTTAATTGGAATTGTTTGCCGCAGACACCGCGAGAGAGCCGCTTGGTCTCGCACCATACTGAATCCTATCCAGTAGTCCCTTTCCCTGGATCCTCTCTCTCACTCTGCTACGACTTCAACACGAAGCTCAGACCATCGTGTCCTAGCCATACAAATCTATGGGGGTTGGAGGAGGAAGAGGAGGAGGACATCTTCTTGAGTAGAATTAATTCCTGCTGCCATCCTTCGAGGTGCGCCCAACCGAACCTACCTATCCTACGAGACTCGAGATGGTTTCATCTAAACAACCCCTCGTCGAACCTTTAAAGTATCTAACCATAAGACCTTCCCTTTCAATATTTTTCATCATTTTTAAACTAATACTGGTACATATGTTAGAATTACATCAGGGTTTATATACATGCATGCATGCACATGGTGTATCTTTCAAGTTGCACGATCTACAGACATGATAAGACTAGTTACACGAAATCAATGTGTTCCTCAGATAAGATGGCGGAGGTTTCCCCATGTATGTGATCAAGATTTTTCTTTTAATCGTAAACTTATATGAACTTATATTGGTATAATGAATTGTTTGCAAGTTAGTGTACATGTTTCTTCAACAGATGGCAGTAATACCTCAATATTTGAGTGTGCATTACTCGGTCTCAATGATTATTATCTAAACTAAACCATAAAATAATTGTTTTTTTTATTTTTTTACTTAGTCTACTATCATACTCGACTGTAAAATATATGAACAAATGTGAGTGTATGCGAGAAAGATAATAGATGAACGTGAGTGTAAGAATGATAGTTATGTTAATTAATATAATCTTTGATATCAGACTCGTTTATTAACAATAACAATTGTTCATTATAATTGTTTTTTTTTTGACTGTTTCAGGAATATTTGACTCATCCAATTAAATTCATCCAATTAAATTCATCCAAGCTCTTCGGTAAGATAAAAATACAGATTCCTAATGAACTCGATCGCGAAAACAATTTCAAGTCCAGATTCTTTAGCCCAATAATAATGTCGTTGAAGACCTGCGTTTTCTTCCATAGCAGTGCAAAGATCGTTGAACGATCGTGATCTCAAATAATTGATTAGTTTACGAAAACTTTGGGAATATCTTAATTTTTGTTGAAGTAAAATGTGCAATTCGTTTCTCGGTATAATTTTTAATATTCGACTAATCATACCAGTTAAACCACCCGAAACAATACATTCATCGGATACAACAAATGATGGCATAGATTTCCAAGTTCTTTCAATACTTTCACTCCAATAATCAACTTCTAATCCGTTTTCCTTGAGCATGTTAATAAAATGACATATTTGAGGTATACTCTGTAATTCCGAAAAAATGAATCGTCTTTGATCATTTATAAAATTCACTGTCTCGTTTAACTGTTCATCGTATTGAACATAATTATTGATTGTCATTTGAATCTCGACGAGTGGAAGGAATCCCAAAATGTCCCAAAAATCTTCTTCTAGAGAGCTTCGATCTCGTAGCATTGATAAATTTGATAAATCCGTGTCCGTCATTATAGTTCTTAAATTGTATGCTAGCAAACCAAAAAAAACAGCAGACATAACTGCGGCCACGCCCATTATTATCACTGACTCATTCATTTTATTTTATTTATAGATTAATTTCTTCAGATTATAAGACAGATATATAATCTACCGCGTTAGTTCATTTTCACTGACAATATTTTATAATTTTTTAAACAGTTTTATGTACGATTATGAATATCGATACTGAAATATAAGAAATTAGTTGGAATTTGATTAAAAATATTTATAAGAGAAAACAATCATATATACCTTTGATTTTGCAGATTCAAAATTCATCGACGTATGTAAACCTTAGAATTCTAAATTTATTGAAAATCAAACGGATCGTAGGACAATAGAATGAGGCTTCTGGGGTAATACAAAAATTTATTAAACAAATCATATTGTCTGGAATTTTCAGGAAATCACAATGCAACAAATTATCGGTTTGGATTTATGTCTTGGTACGTTCATTATTTAAAAATTCTTCAAACAACTTTAAATCCAATATCAAAATATAAATTGTGTATGTTGATAAGAAATTTGTTATGACTAATGCACGAGTACGAAAATATTTATTAGGTTCCCCATTTTTAGATTTCGATAACCTAAAAGCTCGGCGCTGTAGATTGAAGTTGGTAACAAAAACTATTTAACATAATGTGCATAATCGATTGCATTGTTTCACTTTTTGCATCAAGAAATGAATGGAAAATTTATTCTGAATAACAAAAGAAAATAAACATTCTTCAATGATTTTATTATAGTCATGTATAATCAACAACAATTTTTTTTTTACATGTATTATAAAGATCGCAAATTTGTTACAAGCGAACTAGGAGACTTATTATTTAATTTGTTCTCAATATTTTCACAGGCGCACGACTAAAACAATTTAAAAATGCACATGTTTTTAATAAGAATGTGCGTTCGGAAATGTTAGTATATTTACTAAATTTGTGTAATTACTTGGCAATAAAATAATTGCATCTAAATGAATTTACACATTTCTTTTTTATCAAATTTTCATTTCTATTTTGCATTTCTACATTTTTTTCTCTTTTCTTTCCATATTCACTTATCCATGCGAATATTCTTCTAATAACTGCATTCATAAGTTAAACTATATTTTTATCTGTTTATATTTTTTACTATTCATTTTCAATCTTTGTTACAAAAACGTATACCTTTCCTTAACACTTTACTGACCAGCCGCAGATACTTTCAAACAACCGCTGTTTTTCGGCATACACTAGCGAACGGGAGTATCGATGCGGTTCATATGCTCAGAGAGAATTTTCCGCTTTCTATTATTACAGGATATATTAGAATACGCGGCATCTTACAGGATAGGATAATTAAACTTAATAAAATGTTGATAACAACAATGCAACAAAAGTTGTTGTTCGGTAAGCATTGACAATAAAAAGCTGATAAATAGCGACCGTCTCACGGTCGGTTCAAATGGAATAAACCACAAAAGGCAAGAACTTAAAATATTCTATATACGAACTCATTTCGATTATTTGTTGCGAATAATTCACGGCCCGAAACCAAGAATACGAAGTTTGAGATTTTGTATAGCGACAAAATCAATTCCAGCTTCTTTTGATTTCTGTACGAAATTTTTATATTCTTGACTTGATTCAAGAGAATCAACAATTCTATAATATTTATTGGAATTTATATAAGTACTGAATTTCATAAACGCTGGAGATTGCACCATTTTTTTATCATGAAGTCTTTTAATCTCTTCCAATGGAAGAATAGCAAAGTATTCTTTTAGGTAACCATTTATGCCGGTTTCCGACATCTCTTCTGAATTCAATCGTACTGGCGATGGTGGTATATACTCTTCCGAGCCATAAGCGTCATGAAGTATTCGAAATCTTACCATTCCATTATATCCCGATTCATGGATATACTTTATTAACGCTTTATATTCCGATAAGTTTTCTAAAACGCGTGTCATATTGCTATACTCACAGCCCAATATCCAAGCAAATGACTTTAATGTTTCTTCATCATCGCTATATTTTTCCAAAATTGAAGCAAGTTTTTTTGCAGGTATGAGTTTAACAAAATCCTTAAAATCCTTATCCAAAGGATTTTTCTTTATTTTAGCACAAATAGATTCATCATAATAATCACGAATCCGAGGTGTTTGATTATTACTATAAATGCTTGTAGCGTACATTTTTGTCATATCCAATTCTTTATTTTAGACAATAAAATCCTCAAGAAACTAATAGAACAGAAAAATAAGAAAACCTAAAAAAATACAAATTAATTATTATATAATCTTAAATTATGTTATGTACTTACGAATATATTATGAACGCTCAATTCAACGGCAGTACTTTCCGTTAACACTTTAATAACATACTGCAAGAAAACTATATTTTGAAGCACATATATGTACAAATTCTTCTTTTGTAAAAATTGTATATACCTGACGATAAGATAGAGTTATTAGTAATATTATTTTTAACGTTCCGCCATGCTTATAATTTCTAGAACAGTATCTTTTCCTTAGCGATGCTTAATCTTTCTTTGTATTTTTTCATTAGATGATATACCGGAAAACCCCCTCCCTATTTCTTGCGCGTCTACGACCTATTCGTCCTCTACGGCAGTGCATGCGCATTCCAAAAATGCAACCTAGGCGAAATCTAATAATCACATGACCGCTTAGGTCAGCGGAATGCGCCCTTGGGAATAAGTGCGAACAAACCCCCACCAGGACGATTTTTAACCTATATAGAGAGCCACATTTGGGCCCTCGCGAGTTTAAGTAAAAGTTTGTATTAGCACGTCTAGTTGTGTCTTAGGGAGTCTTGGTTAATCAGCCTGAGTTTTGGAAAGTCTTAGTAAAATTAGCAAGTCTTAATCTGGAGTCTTAGTAAAAAAAATCTTAATCAATCAATCTTAACTTTTGAGTCTGGTCTTAATTCGAATCTTTATCTTAATTTATTGAGACGAGTTCTTATATGAATCGTTCATTGCTTTTTGTTGCTCTCCATTATTAATTGATAGTAACTTTGTAAGAAGTGATTGTTGACTGTATTGTTATAAGTCTATATCTTGAAGTGTGTGGGTGCGAGTGTGTTTGAGTGCCACCACTAATATCAAGCGAGTTTGGAAATATAGAACCTGCTCGACGATTTGACTTTTACTTAAGCTACAAAAGTAATTGTTTTTCACGAATCCCCCAGCCAAAAGACATTATAAAAATTGCTTAAATTTTTGGGGCACCCATCGTATAAGGAGAACGGTCAAATATTCGATACGATGGGGTAGTTGGAATTTCAGAAGAAAACATGTAAATGCGATTACGACGTCGGGCTCACGCCAGGCTCGTTAATCAGGATGAATGGGCCAGCTTAATTTCATATCGCCGAATCGATATCGATTCGGTCTGGATCCTGTTGGTTAACGACATAATCTCGTTAAATAACGACGTGATCCGCCTGGGAATTTCGCGACGATTCCAAGAACCACCGAGTACTGCTGATTACAGAAGTTACTCGTAGAATTTCTAACAACACTCGTACCGTTTCTCTGCTTTCTACATTTTCTCCCTCTCTCTATCGAAATTTAACTCTATCTATCTTTCTTCCTTTCTCTCTTCCCACCAACTCCTATTTTCTATTCGCTCCTCTAGCTCATAAGTTACCGCAGAGAGAGAGAGAGAGGTGTACAAACGTTGGTAGGAAAACACTGCGAGTATTCTACCGAAGAAACCGAACGCAGAATTTAAGCCCCGTTCTCTCCCTTCACATGGCTCTCGAGATCACGTTCGCGTAGCGTTCATTGTAAGACTATGAGTTTACCTCGTGGTTGCAGCAAAGAGAGCTTAATTAAGTGCGATACGCTTTGAATAAGGATATAGAATAGCGCGCAAAAGTTTCGAAACCCACCACATTTTTCCGAATAATTCGAAATTTCAATACCGAGTAAAATTCAGCATAATAATATTAAATAGTGAAATGGTATGTCATAATAAACGTTACTTTATTTTATCAAAGAAGATATCGGATATCGTATTTTTACGAAGAAAACAGGTTCGGTTAAAGTTCACTATGCACACTTTCGAACAATCGAGAAAATTCAAGAGAGAGAGATGGTTTTATTGGTGTAGAAAGAGAGGAGGGGTCTATTCCGATTGTTCGTTATCGGTTTTCCACGATCTTTAATTACCGTCCAAGCATCCGGATTTTCGACAAGACTTTATCGCAGGCCAACGTTATTAATAGCAAAGGCCATGCGCCGTCGTAATCTAACAATGCCGGGAAACAATCGTTTCGCGATCGAGCGTGTACTACGTGCAACAAGTCGCGTTCGATAAGTCATAGTAAAAGGGAGAAAGAGAGAGAGAGAGAGAGAGAGATATAGAGAAAACCATTTTGTGTTTCTAGCAATAACATATCATCTGTGAAGGATCATTCTATATAGAATGATATAACAGAATGTTTCTTTTTATTTTCAAAATTAACAAATCATTAATATAAGTAAATAAAATAATTTGACAAAAGAGAGAATAAAGGATAAAATAAATCAATTTTAAGTATACGCTGGTGAAATAAAGGATTGTTCTTTAAAAAAAAAAAAAAAAAGGAACGTACGATAACAGTACATAATATATTGTATATAGATAAAAATAAAAGAAGAAAAGGAGGTGGTGGTCGATCGAGGTACGGGGGGGGGGGGGTAGAGAAAGCATTGTGTGCAGAAACTCGACAGAATAGAGGTGGGGGTAGAATTCATGGGGTAATTCCGTGTTCGATACACCGTACCCGCTTAAGGCTGCGATGTTACCCGGCGTCACATAAGCGTAATACCGGATAAGCCGCAATAATGTAGACTCGCTGTGCGTGCATGCGAAAGCGGAATAGATCCCGCTGTTCGAAGAGGTTTCAAGAGCCGAATGTCCATGGAGATATAATCATTGAACCGAAACTCGAACAGGGAACTCGCCTTGTCCGGCATTGATGTTCAACTATTCTGTTAAAGAATCTTCGATTTGGATGTGCTGTTACGGTATTGTACACGTATACATGTATACAAATAAATTGATCATATAGGTTGGACGTATAGGTTGATGATCTATAGGTTGAATGTTAGGGATAAAGGCAATAATGAGGCATCACATATCGTAGATGGATTTATGGAAACGTTCACGATATTCAATCGACTAGCTGCCGATTATCGTGTCTACGATTAACGTGTCGACTGACGTACCGAGTTTCCTTGATAGTTTCAAGCCAATACTAATCGCTTTACTAGGATGAACTTTGAATTCGATCGTGTAACTACGAGTATTTATTATTTTCACGATACGATCGATACATCATAGATTTATACTATTACTTATGTCGTAGAAAAATATTGTTCAAAATTTAGTTTAATACTGTACGGTAATTATTATGCTCTTAACAGAATATTATAACATTCATAATAAGAAAATACGAATCGCCAACGTATAAGAAGTCTACGATTATTCGGGGAGAAAATCTGCTACTCGAGATATCAGTTAGGACAATGCGTTAGTACAATATGCTCTCGTTTTAGAAAGGAGATATACGGTCTTTGAAGTATTCGTTTGCGATTAAAAAAAAAAAGGCGGAATAACGAGAAGAAAAAATGGAGCAGTCACCGGAGGGATCTATTCTTCCCTTTTGTTTTTTTTTTTCCAAACGGCGAGTCCGGCGATCAAGCTTTCCTACTTGCTTGCTTGCTTGCTTGCCTGCTTGCTTGCTTGCTTCGAAAACTGTCCCCGCTTTTGTAGAAAAGGAAGATTTAATCTTCTTTTCTTCCTTCTTCCATGGATAGAAGAGAAAAACTCGCTTAGCTTTAAAGCGGCTACGCAAAACAATACGAAGTAACCAGCAATTTCTTTTTAAACTCGCGAACGTTTCGTCTACGTTCTTCTTAAAGTAAAAGAGAAAATGGAATAAGGGGAAAAACGGCTCGAAATGAAATCGTAAAGAAGAACGGAAGGGTCTTTTGGCACTACCGAGCCAAAGGGACGGCGACCAACGACGTGAAATGACGAGGAACAATGAAAAAGGGATGAAGCTTAAAAGAAGGAAGACAGAAAAAGAGAAAGAGAGAGAGAGAGAGAGTAATTAGTGCGAAGAGCATTAAGTAGACACGAGGTAATTTCGAGCGGCCATTTTTCACAGTAATCTGTGGTATTCGCGCGAGACTTTTCCGGCAACCCGGATCAGCGTCTTCATTTTGAGCGAGTATCCGTTCGCAAGAACGGAGACAGATGCCGGGCAAGTATAGTAAGCTTTAAGATAGGTTTATCATGAAATACTAGGAAAAAGAATGAGGAAGATTATTGCTAGGATTAAAGGTATTAATCGATAAATTAACAATAAAACGAACAAAATCGATCAGGAAAATTGGTTTAGGTAAAGCTAGTACCTATTATTTGTTTCATTTAGAAACGGTTGCATTCAGATTTTATTCATACTTACACGGAACAAATGAAAATAATACTTATATATTATATAATCAAAATGTACTATATCTAATACGTAAAAAGATGATCGGTGAGTTTGAGAAGAATTTATCGTATAAAATAAAGATGTATTCTACCAGTCCTAAAACTCCCCTAAACCATTAACCCTCTCTATAAGAATATTTCAATTTGAATAAGATTTTAGAAAGAAAAAAATAAGAAGAACAAAAAAATATCGAATGTTATCAGGTAGGTATCTGTGAGATGGAAAGCGTATAGATGATAATAGATTAGCTTGGCAAGAGAGTAGAGAGATAGGATCGTGTTATCGAGTAAGATACTTATAAATCGGATTCATCAGCGTGAGAGGCTCGAAATCGAGAACGGTATCGAGAACGGTATCGAGAACGGTGCGACGACATCGTTGTCGACTCGCCTCGCCTCATTAAATCTTACAGACATCCGATGAAGCGCGTTCGAGGCGGCGGCTGCTTCTGCTGCGAGAGAACGTAACGCGATTATGCGCTCTTATCCTGTTTCCCCGACGTTAACCGAATCTTCCTACCCCGTGCGACTGAATTTCACGAGGGTGGGGACAGACACAGGCAGGGAGGCAGGCAAGCTCGTCGCGGCTGAACGAGAGAGAATAAAGTATGATTAAACGAGAAACAGAGACTGATAGAAAATAAAAGAGAAAATAGTAGAGATGAAAAAAAGAAGAAGAAGGAAAAAAGCACGTCACACGCGACCGAAGTGATACTTCGGTTTTTTATCTTGCTCATTTTATTAAATTATTAAAATTTGATCGATATATATTTTCTTTGGTCTTTCCCAACCTCACTCGAATAACGCGCTGTCCTCTAAAAACCTTTCACTTTTCGTGTCGCTTCGGAGAAACAGGGGGGTGGGAAAAAACAAAT